TTCTTAAGGAGGGGCCTCACCACCGCCTCCTTCAAGGCTACGGGGAAGACACCCTCCCGTAAAGAAGCGTTTATAATTCCCTGGAGCCAGGCTCGTGTACCCTCCCGGGCAGCCAGTACCAGCCAGGAGGGGCACGGATCCAATAAACATGTGGTTGCATTCAGCCTCCCCAGGATCCTGTCCACGTCTTCGGGGGCCACAGAGTCAAACTCCTCCCATATAACAGTCTCAAGACCTGCTCCCGTCTCCTCCCCCGGGGCCACCCAGTCAGAGACAAGACCTTCTCGGATCCGAGCAACTTTGTCATACAGATATTGAGCAAAGTCCTCGGCCCTCCCCTCCAGGGGATCCCCTCCCTCCCTCAACTGCAGTATTCCAGGTGTGGTCTTACTAATTTACTTGCTCTTTATAAAGCTATACTAATCCTTCTTGTGATTTTGATTCTACAACTCTTGTTTATACAACCAAGGATTGTATTAGCTTTTTTGGAAGCTTTTGCACACTGCCCGTTCATGTTTAAGTCATTCGCCACTGGACTCCAAGGTCCCTCTCACTAACTGTTTTTGAGCCAGGTTTCACCTAATCTGTATTTGCACCTTTAGGTTTTCTGCCTACGTGTAAAACCTTGCTTTTCTCCACACTAAATTTCATGTTGTTGGATAGGGCCCATTGTTCAAGTCTGTCATGATCTTTCTGAATCCTGAGCTTGTCTTCTGGGGTAGTCCTCGACTTACAACAGTTTGATTAGTGGCTGTTCGAAGTTACAGTGGCACTGAAAATAGTGCAGTGGTTAGAATACACTTGTTGTTGTTAATTGCGAAGTCATGTCCGACCCATCACGACTCAATGGACAACGTTCCTCCAGGGCTTCCTGTCCTCTACCATCTTCTGGAGTCCATTTAAGTTCACGCCTATGAAGCAGAATTAGCCTGCTTCATAGAGTGCTTTGAAAAATAGGTGGACGCCCTCTTCTTTGTGGCAGCCCCCCCCAATATTGGAATACTGTTATCACGTCACCCCTGGTCCATCTTTAGTCAAGACTGGCCATAAAGAATTCCTGCAACCGTTCTTCACATGTTTTTGTCTCCAGGACTTTAATCATTTTAGTTGCTCTCCTTTGTCCTTTTTGCAGGGTCTCAATATCTGTTTTGTAATGTGACCAAACCTGGATGCAGTATTCCAGCTGTGGTATTACTAATTTACTTGCATGCGCGCGCACACACACACACACACAAACTGAGAAAAAGGAAAAGGCAGGGATCATTAACAATTCAGGCAGACAAATGGGGAGCAAGCGGGAAAACCGTGATAGCGCAGTGGTTAGAATGCAGTATTGCGGGCTAATTCTGCTGACTGCCAGCAGTTCGATTCTCACCGGCTCAAGGTTGACTCAGTCTTCCATCCTTCCGATGTCAGTAAAATGGGGACCCAGATTGTTGGGGGGCAATATGCTGATTCTGTATACCGCTTAGAGAGGGCCGTAAAGCACTGTGAAGAGGTATATATGTCTAAGCGCTATTGCTATTCTGACAGCCATCATGAACCTTTCTTCTTTTCTTCTTTTTCCTTCATACAGCAGGTGGCACCAGGAAAAGTGGACAAAGTTCCAGTTGTTAGATTTTCTCCCTTTAGAAAGCCCTGCAACTGAGAAGGCGCCGGAAATTATGCTGGGTGGAGAAATACTTCGATAGAAGGTCCCCTCAGAGGAACCAGGAGAGACTCTTCAAGTGCTCTGAGTGTGGGATATCCTTTGCTCACAAATTCCTCCCTTTGATTAACCAGACGCTGGACATGAGGAATAGATCCCATCTGTGTTTGAAGTGTGGAAACTCGTTTCGTGGCTGTGGAGCTTTCCCAAACCTCTCCGGAGCCACCCCGGACTGAAGCCCTACAAATGTGGAGAGTGTGGGAAGCATTTTGCTAAAGGCTGGGACATCGGAGCTCCTTAGCGTATCCACCAGGGAAAGAGACCTCAGGAAGGCCTCAGTGTTTTTCCAGGCCTCAGAACAGCCCAACTGAAGAGAAACACCTGCAATTGTGTGCAATGTGGGCTTTGCTTTTCTCAGAACTCAGAGATGCTTAAACATCAACAAATCCACACTGGACAAAAAACTTATCAATGTCTGGAGTGTGGGAAATCTTTTATTCGAAAAGCAAGTCTCAAAATCCACGGGAAAATTCACATGGAAATAAAACCTTATAAATGCTTAGAGTGTGGAAAATGTTTTACTCGGAGTTCATCTCTTTGCAAACATAATAAAACACACACAGAGGAGGAAAGCAGAACATGCCTAGAATGTGGAAAATGTTTTTCCCGCAAATCAACCCTGCAGGAACATCAGAGAATCCACACTGGGGAGAGACCTTATCAATGCCCAGAATGTGAGAAACGATTTGGGAGTCATTCCACACTTTGGAGTCACCAAAAGACGCACAAGGGAGAAAAACCCTATAAATGTAACAATTGTGAGAAATGTTTTTCTCTAAAGGAAAGTCTTTTTCAACATCAGATAATCCACACAGGGGAGAAACCCTACCAGTGCATCGAGTGTGGAAAATTTTTTCGTTCGATATCAAACCTCAGACATCATGAGAAAATTCACAGAGGGGAAAGAAATTTCAAATGTTTAGACTGTGGGAGAGCATTTATTTATTCAGCTCATCTTAGAAGTCACTGGCAAGTCCATATAGGAGAGAAGCCCCATAAATGCTCGACGTGCGATAAATGTTTTTCTAGGAGATACACCCTTTTGATACATCAGAGAACCCACAGTGGAGAGAAACCATATAAATGTCCGGAGTGTGGGAAGTCGTTTTCTTGCCAAGAATATCTTAAAAAACACCAGACGATTCACACAGAAAAAAAACGTATCAGGTCTGTGCAGAAAAATGAAATGTGCTCAGAATGTGGGAGATGTTTCTCCCAAAGGGGACACCTAATTCGACATGAGAGACTTCACACCGGAGACAGGCCATATCAATGCCCAGAATGCGACAAGCGATTTGTGGTGTCTGCTGAACTCCGGATACATCAGAGAATCCACACAGGAGAGAAGCCCTATAAATGTGTGGAGTGTGGGAAATGCTTTTCCCAAAAACAACACCTTAGACGTCATCAAAAGGTCCATAAAAGAATGAAGCCATAAAGACTCATAGAGTGTAGAAATCTTTTGCTTAAAAGGGAGATATCAGAAAACTCACATGGGAGAAGACCTAACAGGCCCTGATGGTGGACCAGTTTTTCATACTGAGAGGTCATGTAAAAGTTCCTAAAATTAGAAACTCTTAGATCCTGAGAGAGCATTTTTTGTCAATCATCCCTTAAAAATCATACTCTAATTCATATAGGAAAGATGTATCATAAATGTTTGGAGTTTACATGTCTGGAGTTTAATCTAAAATACTCTTTTTCACCATCAGTGAATTCTTACTGGAGAGAAACTTTATCAGAGCTTGGGATGTGGCCAAGGTTTTTACCTGACAGTCAGATTTTCAGATGCCCTTGAAAAATCCACACAGGAGAAAAACATTAACAAGTGTGTAGCGTGAGAAAACTTTTCCTTGCCAATTGGAACATCTTGTCTCCTGGAGTTTGTCCATTTGAAATGGTCTCCTTGGAAATTTTCTTGCCAAGTTAATAAATTTATAATTTTGTAAAAAAAAAATTAATTTTAAAATGTGAATGTCAGTGTGAAAATCTAAAATCTAATGTGAAATTCTCCGGAATCATATAAGGATTCCTGCTTTGGGCAAGGAGGGTTGGACTAGAAAACTACGATTCTTGTTATTCTGTGATAGGTCCCTTGTAGCTCTGTGATTGTAAGAATTTAAAAAGAAAAAGGGAAAGGGACAGTGAAAAAGAAAA